CTAATTTTTAATGAATTTAGTAAATGATTTTTAATTTGTTTTTTATAATCTGTAAAGGATTGAAAGTTAAAGTTATTAGAAATATTATTCCACAAATGTGGTGCTATGAAACTGAAATTCTTTTGAAGTTAGCTGTTCGGTGTTGAGGAATTTTAAATAATGTACTTGCCTAGTCGAATGATCATGGTCAACGTAGTGAAACAATGAGATCAAATGGGAGGCTGCTTTGTAGTTAAAATTTGATAAATGAATGTCATTAGATGAAATTGTCGTCTGTTAGTCATGGATAAAATAGATAAATTTTTAAGATGGCGTTATTATGATTCTAAAAGGAATGCTAAAAGAAAATCGTAGACACGAGTTTTGAAGTATTTGGATTTTTCTAGAGAATCTAGCGGTTATGGATGTACCATAAACAACATCGACGTAATCAAATAAAGATAAATTAAGTGTGTCACATAATTGAAACTTAGTCTTTGATGGTATATATTTCTTAAGAGACGAAAAATTCTTCAAACGTATATAAGCAGCCTTTAATTTAGTAGTTATATGTACCTGAAAAGAAAGCTTCGCATCAAAATAGACTCCAAGATTTTTAGTCTCTGTAACAATGGGTATCGCAACATTATCTATATGGATATTCATGTTACCAGTCGTATTTGTAATTTTGTTTATACCACTACCAAATACTATAACACAATATTTTATATATGCTGCAGGCATATCGCATAAGTTGGCATTTTGCAAAAAGGCTAGACATATTATAAAACGTTTTTTAGCGTTTTTAACAAAAGAAGGATATTTTCCAAGAGCATACACTCGCTTTGCAAAATGCCTAATGAAGACTAGTAAAATAGCACAAAACATTTTACGCGGGATTGGTATATCTAACCTAAATTTCTCCAACGACATTTCTTGAACTTCTCTTTCAAAATTTAGAAATAATGGCACAAAAAGTGACAATTCTGTTAAATAGCGTATGGTTGAGGATGAATATTACAAAGATCTAAATTCATTTTATTCTAAAAGAAAGCAAAGTTCCACAAAGAAGCACGCCTGTACACAGAATCGAATGGCAGAGTATAATAATTAAAAAGTGAGATATTAATAGATTTTAATATATTTTGTATTTAAAATTATGTTATTTATAATTAAAATTTATGAAATAGGGTTCAAGTTGTTTTCGTCTCGACATTAATTGTTTTTGTATAGGAAAGTGTAGATATGGGGTATTTTTATTAAAGCATAAATTATTCAATATATACTACTTATGCTCATCTCAAAGCTGACTAAAGTTTGATCATTTTTTAATCTGCCTGACCTCGATTCTCGATTTGGAATTTTTTAAAATGACTGAAAACAGAGTATTTTTGCAGAAGTGTACAGAAAATATCATCATTGTATAATATGCCTAATTCTGATTAAGCTTTTTGCAAAGCAACTGAAAATAGATAGGCTATAAGACAATTTAATAAATTGGGAAAGAAATTTATTTATATTTATACGTTTTAATCATTCGTTCAAATCAACTTGGCTGCTATCCAACATAGACTCGATATCACTGTCCTCTTCGTCACTCATTATAGTTCAAAAATAGAGAAATATTTAGAATAAAACCACGATAAACAGCAAATAAAACTGAAGGGTCAAAACGTCTTATCACAGATAAATGAACTGTCAAAATTAAAATGAGAAACGATCGAAGACCTGTAACCATTAATAATCTGTTGACACACACTTAATGCGCAGGTCAGTCCCTATGATGCTTGTTCACTAAACGATTCTCTCCAGGTTGGAACGTATTTTCTCCACTGCGCATAAGGCGTTACCGTACCGAGTATGGTTCTCTGATATGTTGGAACGAAACTATTGTTATCTGTTCACACTTGATAACGGTCAGTGATTACCGAAACGTTGCGTAAATTTTCGAAATTAAAAACAATGTCAATCCAAGAAGGTATTTTATTTCATAATAAAAATGATTGTTTCTGCTAATCAAAATATTATAATTCGACGGTCTAGTTTAAATATAAAATTCATGTGCTGTAGACTACGGTGCCAATATACAAAGACACAGACTGTAAAGAAGGAAAGATAATAAAAATGTAAGAAGAATATTTGAAAATATCAAATAATTTACTGGTAAACAAAAAACATAAATTTTGGTCACACATAATTTTAAGCAAATTATTTTTACTGAAGAGTAATGTTTGAATAAAATAGTAAATAGTTCAAATGTTTGAATAAAATAGTAAAAAAATAGTCTATAGTTTCAAGATTATTTAAAAAAATCTTTTATAAAATACTCCTATTTATCAATATAGAATTTTGTTGTACACCAGTAAATTACTTGTTAAATTTCTAATCTTTAAAAGCCTAGTTTATTGTAATTTATGTGTAAATCATCCTCCATGTTTTGTCAAAACTATGTAAAAACTTAAGGGTAAATGTGTAAATTTTACAGATGTTTTTAATAATAATATAAACTATTGTAGAATTATATTAGATAGGGATAGATTACCAAAGTAGATTATAATTAGGTATATATTATATAGAGCCTAGACCTTTATCAAAATCTTATTCTAAAACAGTATTTTCGTAAATATAAAACTTGATCTTAAGATTGATTATCTGTAAAGAGGGCCTCTTTTATATGTACAAATATTTTTAAACGTCCAAATAAATAAAACAGACAATTAATATAATTAAGGGTAACAATGAAAGATATTTAATCAATTATTTACAAAAATATAAAATAATATACATATTCTATTTCGTATTCATATTAATTTTGGAACACAAATATAACAATAAACCCATATAAACATATAACATAAAACCATATTTTGACATATATCAGAATTACTGCGAGAAAAAATCTATTAGTGTTTTTTAATTACCTGTAAGCTTAAGATCCACTATTTTTTTTAGAAATTTTAACTATTTGACAGGGATAGTTTTTTACAAGACTATATTGAACAGGTTGCCTCGTAACTTTTGGACCAATAGGGGCGAAGCTGCAACTACGTCACAGGGATGCTACAGAACATATAAAATCATAGATAAAGGGATAAAAATAAATAGTCTAAGAGCTAGCAACGTTTTCGAGAAAGTATTTTAAGACGTCTGGCTCTTTGATATATCTCTTACTATGCTCTCTGGAACTGCATGCGGCCCGTCTGGCTGCCGATACCCGTTGCGTTCACTACTGCGCATCGGAAGAAGATCCTATATGTTTTATTTAGTCCTATAAATTCTAGTATTGAATATAAATCGAGCATGTCTCCAAAGCGCAGTGCGTAGAGTTTCCGACCGCGAACCACTGATTCAGAGTTCGAATCCGGGTCAGGACAAAGACTTTTTTATTTTATTTTCGTTTATATTCTAATAGTAAAGTATTAAATATTTGTTTTTTTTTTAATCTCCAGAATTATTTAATACTTTACTATCAGAATATAAACGAAAATAAAATAAAAAGTCTTTCTGACCCGGATTCGAACTCTGAATCATCGTTCATGGTCGGACATGTTCGATTTATATTCAATACTGGAATTTAAAGGACTAATAAAGATATAGGATCTTCTTTCAATGCGCAGTAGGGAGACACAACGTTTACCGGCAGCCAAACGGGCCACATGCTGTTCTAGAGAGCATAGTAAAGAGATATATCAAAGAGCCAGATGTCTTAAAATACTTGTTTTTCCAACGTTGCTAGCTCTCACTACAAATGGAACCAAGAAAGAGAGATAAATAGGCAATACAATAAAGAAAACACACATCAAACAACTGAAAACTATGGACGCCATAAAGTACACAATGAATATCGATTCGGAAATGCACTGTCGGGCAGTTTTTATCATAAAATAATAAATACAAGAAGAAATGTCAAGTCAATGTTAAATTATGGAAACAGTGTGGCTGCCTGGGTAACTAATATTCAGATATGGCCATAAGGATATGGCGGCTGGGACATTTGACATAGACATGACAATGTCAATTTTATTACATTTATTTCCGTTTCCAGTTTTTAATGGCGGGCTGTTCAGGAGGTTCAAATGAGGGTTAATATACTTTTTACTCTTTCTAGTAGTAAATAATACAACAAAATTAATCAAAAATATTTATTTGAAATTTAGAATAATGTAAATATGCAAATCAACACAATTAAAGAGCTATAAACACATAAACTACTGTATCAATATCAAATATTTAAATAATATCAGAGATACTGTGTTAAAGTGAATTAGTAAAGTAACAGTGCATTGACTTACAGAAACTTGAAGATAAATAAATGTTTTCACAGCTTCACGGGCGTAAAACTAAATAACTGGAAGCAGGAAAAAGACAACCGGAACCCACACAAAACCTGGAATCAAAAAAAAAATATGTAAAATAACATAAATATAGGTACATAAGACTTTTGTGAATTAAATCAAACAGGACTCGAATGAAAATAAAATGAATAAAAAATATGAGACATATACATCTAATACCTCATTTGTATTTTAAAATTAATCTACACACATATATTT